CCCCGGGGGCTGAGGTGGCCCCCGCGCTGTCCTCGGCGCTGGGGGCACCTCCCCCAAAGGGCCTTCCCGAGGGGCGGCCGTGGGACCCCCTGTGCCCCCGTCCTGAAGGAGGGGACATGGAGCGGGCCCCCCGTGGCTGCGGGCCGGGGGGATCCGCCGCGGGGGCYGCCCTGCAGCCCGGGTGTCCCACACGCGCCGGGTGCCCCGCACGCACCGTCCCTGGGCGGCGGTGGCGGCACGGGGGGCACGAGAGGGCTCTGCTTGTGCTGGCCCAGCCGTGGGGGACGTGGTGTCCGAGCAGGGGGCCGCCGGTGCGTCTGCGGTCCCCCCGCTCTGCCCCCAGCCCCTGCGCTGCTGCAGGGCAGCTCGGCAACAAGCTCCGGCTGCGCCCRCCTCGGTGGCGCTTGCCGGCCGGCCGCCGCGCTCGCGTGGCCCCGGTGCCCGGCTGCTGCTCTCCCTCGCCTCGCCTGCCCCTCTCGGGTGGGTGAGGGCTGGYGTGGAGGCTCTGCGGGGGCCTTGATGCTCCCTGCGAGGGCTCAGTGCTGCCCCAGCCCTGCCGAGTGCATCGGAAGGTGACCCCTGGCCGGGATTCTCCTCCCGCGGCACGAGGGGTGCACGGGGGGTGCTGGGAGCTGCTGGCAGATCCTATCTCCTTGTCGGAGAGATCTTTTTGCCGCTGGGTGAAGCCTGAGTTMCTGTGGCTTTGCCTTGGTGCTGTTTGCTCTGCAGGGGCTCTCTGGCGACCCACAGGCTCCGCTCGGGCCCCTTTCCGCTGGTGTGTAGCTTGCACKGCCCTCGCTCACCTATTGAGCTCCCTTTTTTTCCCCCCAGAACCGGTGAGAACTTGGTGCGGGTGCCAGATCTGGCCCAAGTTGTGCAACTGATGCAAAAGTTCAGGGGGAGGGAGCTGGGCTGGTTGCGCAAACGTCGCTTCCCTGAGCAAGGCCGACCGCCCCCCTCGTGGGGTGCCCTCTGTGCACCCCGTGGTGCTGCTGGCGGGCTCAGAGTTGGGGCGCTGGGCAGGCCTGGCCGTGGCAGGGCTGGGCTCGCTCCTAGTGACCGGAGACCCGATCCCGGGGCTGGGGCTCCCTGCCCCCATGTGCCTCTAAGCCCTTTAGGAGCCGTTGCAGCCCTACAACAACGGCTGTTGTGGGGCTTATTCCTCTGCCTTCAAGATGTGATGGGTGTTTGGTTCAGCCTCTTTAGGACCTGCTCCGCGGCAGCCTTTGTTGTCTGAGSGACAGTGTCTTTGATCAGGATCTTTATCAGTGACTTATCACAACCCTCCCTTGGGGTGGYGGAAAGGACTTTGGGGCGTGTTCACCCAGCTCCAGGGCTGGTCTCCTTGGTCTCCTGCTGCAGCTCCATCTGCGCTCGTGTGTTTCCATTTCATGGCTCTGATGGTGAAGAGTGGAGTTTTCTCTAGAAATCCCTATGCTTGCATCCCCACCCCCTTCCTGGAGATCCCCTTGGAAAGGCATGCCCAAGCAAGGGCTTCCCAGAGTGGCTGCTGCTGGATCCTAATTCCCTTAGACATCCCACAAGAAGTGTTGGAGGTGATSGCTTATCTTCTGTCCGTCATAAACCAGAGGAGTTTGGGCCGTGGGCACTGTCCCAACTTGCAGCAGAAGCAGCTGGAGGTGTTGGGCAGGAGTTGGAGCAATGATCGCTTCTCTGTGATGCTGTCTTCTCAGCAGGCACCGAGCTGGTGGGAATCCACAGGCCCTGACAGATCAGGCCTCCAGGAGAAGCCAGGAGGGAGGAGAGAAACCTAGTGACTTTCTCCCCGTTACTTTTCTCCAAGGAATTAATAAGAAGTCTCACTTCAATCACCCCCAACCTTGCCTATCATTCAAGAATTAACCAGTATGGCTGGTAAAACATTTACTGTCCTTAAGGCAAGTTGTTTATTTAACCTTCCTGGCCGTAGCGCAGCTTGTGGCAGCGAGTCCTGCTTCTCCAGGGCTCTTGGGTCCCCCGGTCCCGGGCGCAGGTTTGCACTGAGCACCTGGGGTGGCTTGTGGCGTGCTGACCTGCWGAGGCTGCAGAACCTGCTCCAGCCCCGAGCCGGCGCCTCGACATGCACGGTGGACAAGTGAGTGCCCGAGGGGAGAGGATTGCCGGGACTGACCACGCTGCCTGTCTGAAGTCCCCTCCGCTCGGCTGGCTCTAATCTTGCTCTGCTCGTGAGGCCTGTTAGACTTTGTCCTGYGAGGAGCGCGAGCTGGGGATGTGTGCTGTGCCAGCGCAGCGCGGAAGGGCTCAAGTGTTTGGGGTTGCTCAAGGCAGAGCACCCCAAGCATCCTGCTCCAAGGCCTGCATTTTTAGGTGCCCGGTTCCAGCGCTGGGGTTTGTAGATCAGGGTTGGTTTAAGTGCTGTAGGATCCACTCCGGAGACCATCTCCAAGGGGGAAGTTTCCCCAGCTTGGCTCCAGGCCTGGATGTGTTGGGCACCATCTGGGCCTGGTGTCATGGAGCAGCTCTCCTTAAGTGGGTGGACAGGGCTGAGCCTGGTTACCTGGCTACAAATGTGTCCCTGTGCCCTCAAGAAACATCTCTAGGGAAGCAGAGCCCTTCATTCCTGCCCATCTCRCTGGTCCCCCTTGCCCCAGGGAGCATCCTTGTGAGAGAAGCTTTGGACAGACTCACTGGGTGACTGCATCCGAGCTCAYCCGTGTGCACGAGATGCACGGTGCAGCTCTGAACTCGGCGCTTCTTGCTGAGCCCTGAGCAGATCAGGCCCATCTGACATTGCAGGCAGCCCTTCTCCAGAGGGAAAGTGAAGTATCAAGCGGTGACACGGCTTTGCCAAGGCCGTGCAGCAAACTGCTTGGTGAACCACGGCATCTAACAGGCTGCTTCCTCTCTCCAAATACGTTCCTCACGTGGAGCTTGGTGGGAAAGGCTGCTCTTCTCTCTCATTTCTCCCTTTTCTTGTCTGTTTGCCTCAGCAGTCCAGCGCAGAAACTTGTGTTCAACAGAGTGAATGGCAAAAGGCCGCAGGTGCTGCCACAGCATGTTTCGGCCTCGGAGGAGAGCTACACGTTGGCACACGAGGAGAACGTCCGCTTTGTGCATGAAGGTGAGAGCGTCTGCACGCGGGGCCGTCGGCGCTGGCTCGCGGTCGTGGGGGGCTGGGATGTGTGGGGTCTCTGCGAGGGGAGCGCCGCGCTGCAGCTCCCTTCCCTTGTCCCCTCTGCTCTGCCCTGTGCCAAGCACTGGGGTGGCAGAGGTGGGGACACCTGAGGCACGTGTCCTKGATCTTGCCTGGTTCCAGCCTCTTCTCCTGTGCACAGCACAGCCCCGGGGCTGGGAAATTCCTGTACTCAAGCCCAAGCAGTGCTTCTCCCAAGGGAGCGGAACCAGCAGAGTAACCTGGGGGCAGAAGAAGCTGGCGGGAGCTCCCAGGCCTGCTCCATGCCTGGATGGGAAAGCAGAGCCCAGGGGCAGCCCGATGTGCTGCATGTGGTCTGAAAYGAGGCGGTCAGAGCTCTGCCTGCCCTGGGGGCTCTTCCTCTCACCTGCTGCTCCTTCTCCTCCCTCAGCCTGGCAGCAGGTAGAGCAGCAGCTGGACGGCAGCCAGAGAGGGGAGAACGTGTGCGGCCCCGTGCAATACGTAGAGAAAACCCCCAACCCTGGACTGAAAAGTAAGTGAAAAGCAGCCCCAGTGTGTGGTCTCTAGGATGCACCCATGGAATGAGTTGATTTGATCTCAGCCCAGGCCACAGACAAAGCTGATGAGCAGGGTCCATCCTTGTGATGTCCTGCCAGCGCTGAGGCAGACTGGGGAGATCGGGGTGGCRGCACTAGCCCTGTGGTGTGGATATCTTGCTGTGCTTTGTCGAGGGAGCCCAGCAGAGGTCTGGTTCTCACGGCTCTCCTGAGAAAGATGTCCTCTCCAGTGGCCGAGGGCCTCAGCTTYGTGCTGGAGAGGAGCTCTCTTGCTCCTGCTGTGCTGAGTCTTGCTGCTGGAGACTTGGCTCTCCTGTTTCTGGGGCTCAACGGGATTGAGAGGGAGGGCAGAGGGGCTGGGGGGACAATGGGCTTCTCCTAAGGCACCTGGAAGAGGGTGTCCAGGCAGTCAAGGATGTTCCAAGCTGCAGTGTATGTGCCCTGTAGAGCTCCTCCAGTGCTTGTTTGGGGTTAGGGAACAGGGAACTGTAGGGTGTTGCTTCCTCAGGGACAAGGAATGTGGCTCTGGGGCCACCCTTTGCTGCACTGCCGCCTCCGGCCGCTCTGCTATTTTCTCTTCTTTCTCTCTTTCTCTTCTCTTTCAGACTTCGTTCCCATTGACCTGGAGGAGTGGTGGGCACAGCAGTTTCTTGCCAAAATTGAAAACTGTTCCTAGAAGGAAAAGTAACCCACAAAAGCAAAAAGTGTCTGGTGTCGGAAACCRGAACCGGTGAGATTTCAAAACATGTTTTTTTTAAAACACACAATCAAGTGACCCCCTCTCGCAGCCCACCGAGGACAGCAGGGACGGAGCGGGGCCCCGTGCCCAGCCGGGCGCCGCCGCTCCTGGGGCCCRGCGCGGGGGCAGAGGAGCTGCGCGCGGCCCCAGCCACGATGCCTTAAGTGCCAGTCTGCCGCTGGCCGCAGCTCCCACGGACACTGCCGAGCCGGAGGGCCGAGGGGAGGAGCGCAGCCCTTCCCACCCTCACGCTGTAGTGGCGGGAAGAGGCACAAGGGTCTTTGTAGCCAGGACYGCGAGGCAATAAAGCGCTGAAACTGCCCGTGGAGAGGAGCTCGCTGATCTGGGAGGGTTTGAGGGCAGGAAGGGGCTGAGCTGGGGGGGCTCTGCCAGCCTGGGAGGGTGCTGGGGGGCAGAGGAGGGGTCCAYGTGCACGGATCTGTGCATGCACCCCTCTTGTGGCAGCTTTGTTAGGAGCTCCTTCCCCACAGGTGGAGCTCCTCAGCTTGCTCCCTGCTTGGCTTGCAGGGCCAGGCTCTGGGCAAGAAGAGCCTAGAGCATCTCCAGGACTCCTACTGTGGCCTCCATGGGTGCTGCATCCTTCTCTCAGCCTTACTGCCTAGTGCCTCATGGGTGCCTGGCCCTGGCCAGGGGCTGCTGCTGCCCCAGGGCATGGGCTGGAGCCACGAGGCAGCAGCACGGGGCGCTGCAGCACCCATCTGCACTGAGGGCAGGGAGAGATGGGGCTCCCTTGTCCCTCCACCTCCCCTAGCCACAGCCAGCAAAAGCAAAGGTGGCTGCAGAGGAGGGGACAAACGCTGAGCTTGGGGCAGGCGCTTGGCTGGGGTGCCTGTGGCAGGTGAAGCACGGCTGCTTGCACTGCTTTCTGTGCCAAGGCAGCCCCAAGGACCAGCCCCTTGGCGAGGCACTGACAACAGGGGCTTTGCCACCTCTGCCAGGGCAGTGGGAGCTGGGGGRATGAGGGGAAGTGGAAGGTGGCCTGGGCTGGTACCTGCTAAGAAACTGCAGGTGAGTTGGGTGCTGATAGAGGTGGGTGGGTGGGTGGAGGGGCTGAGTCAGACTCCTTGACTCCCTAAGAGCCCTTCAGGTACCTGCAGGGGCAGGGGTGGTTCCTCAGCTGTCAGGAGGGGTGGGGATAACCCCTGGGGGGTATCCAGGGATAAAACAGCAGGAACAAGGGTGCCCTGTCCAACTCTGCCCTGGCAGATGTTATAGGGGAAGCTTCACAGTGCTGTTGTGTAGAGCCCCAGAGCCCTGGGCCTGTGGCCTCCACCCCCTTCCTCGGGCTTGGGGCTGCTCCTCCAGGCCAAGGAGGGGATGGGCAGCCTCTCCCGGCCTTTCTGCTCCCAGCTTCACTAGTGGCCATGGCGACATCCAGTCCCTGTGGGGCCTCTCTTGTCCTTCCACCCATGTGGCGCCCAGGGAGGCAGGTGCAGGGACTTGAGCCCAGCCCAGCTGAAGCCCTTGGGGSAAGGAAGCCTTGTGAGATGGAGGCTGGAGCTGCCCGCTCTGTGCAAAGGAGGCCAGGAAACAGCAGGTGGAAAAAAAGATCTGTTTTATTCCTCTCATAGCACAACTCTCCCGCCCAGAGCCCCCTGCACGATGCCAGCGAGAGGAGGCACCCGGGTTCCCCGCCACTGCTCGCGGCCCCTTTCCTGCCCCACACAACCAGCAGCAGCCGCATCTCACCCTGCAGAAGGGGCTTCCAGCTGCAGCCCTGTGTCCCTGCAGCACAGAAGCCAGGGCAGAGCAGGGTGCAAAGGAGCACCCAGGCTGTCACCGCTGCAGCAGGGCAAGAGGCTCTACTGCTGCCAGCCCCTGTCTGCCCTGTGTCCCAGCAAGGGGGAGCAGGCAGCGCCTCCGGCCCTGGCCCTGCTCACGACCTTGTGCCAGGCTGGGCCGGGAAGCAGCAGGTGACCGACCTAGGGCTCGACAGAGCTCGTCCTCTCCAGCAGCAGCACCCATGCAGTGGGCCCCAGGCAGGACCTGCCTCTGCACTCATACCGGGCACAGCCAGCACGGGGTTGCTCCTGCCTCATCTAAAACCTGCTCTTAGCACTCGCCTCAGCCTTGCCCTGTGCCCACTGCAACGTGGAAGCCTCCCTGTAAATGAAAATAGTGAGTAGCACCATGCACAGCCCCYGGCCGCTTCCTCGGCGGGAGGCCGGGGTGAGCAGAGCTCGGCGCTGAGGAGAAAAGCTGCTGCTCCAGGTCGCTTAGGTCTGAGCAAGTGAAACGCTGCCCCAGAGCGGGGTGCAGCAGGGCTGCCTCTGAGCACGTGCAAACTCAGCCCAAGCACTCCGGGCTGCCGTCCTCCCGGCCGGCACCGCAGCCTGAAGAGGGACGTGGCCCTTGCTGCCACCCCCCGGAGAGCCCTTCTGCTCCTGCTGCCCCTGCAGGGATTGCCCTCTCCAACCGCCATCAGGCCCCAAGGCTGCCACACATCGGTGCTCTGTGTTTTGCACTACCTGCCCTAAACCCCTACCCTGCATTTTCTCCCCCCTCCACGTCCTCTTCCCATCCGCACACTGCTGCTCTCACCCCTGTTCAAGATGAGGCGYGTGAAGGCTCTGCCAAGGAGGGCAAGCAGACAGGAGCTGGGSCTTCCATTCACCGAGCGGCTGCTTCCCAGCACAAACACGCTCCGTTCCGACCAGGGAAAATCTTAGTAACATGATGCACGACCATTTGAAACATCAGCAGTAGGGGGAAAAAAATGGAGCAGGAAGGAATGATTCAGTTACAGGAACAAAAAGCCCAACCCAAAATACAACCCAACCCCTGCCCTTACAATCACTAGAAGGGAATCAGCACCACCCCCCTCCCCGTACTATTAATTGATTTAGTATGTGCAATTGTGTGTATTACTATAGTGCAAATAGCTCTGCATTGATCCCGGGGCAGTCAGCCAGGAGGGGACTGCCCCCAAGTGAAACAGGGACTAGTTGGAGACAGACGAGAACCAACACGCACACATATAATATATATATATATATATAAAACAAACAAAAAGCCACCCAACCACTGGGAAATGCCCCAAATACAACTTCCAGCTGCCCTTGCTAGCCCTGGCTCTGCCTGGCCGGACCGACTGCCTCGTGCGCGGCGAGGCGGCAGCGGAGCGGGCTGTGGGCGCAGGCGGGGCTGAGGCCGGAGCCGCGGAACAGGCAGCAGGCGCCGCGCGGAGCCTCTCGGGCGCGAGGGCAGACACGGGACAAGGACGCGGGGGCAGCCCCAGCGTCACTGCCCCTTGGCGCGTGCCGGCAGTCCTGCAGCTGCCGCCGCTGCGGCCCAGCCCAGGCCGAGCAGTTTTCTAAACCTTTCAACGGCCGCAGCAGCAAGCCCGGCCCCTGAGCCCGGCCTGGGGCCAGCACCGAAGCACCCAAGAACCGGCCGCGCCGCCAGCAAACACCGAGCGCCCTCACAACCAGCAGGTGAGAGCAGCTCTGGCCTTGCCCTTGCCTCACGCGCGTCCCCACGGCCTCCTCGAGGCAGGGCGATACCGGCCTCTGCGCAGAGCAGCCCGTGTGCTCGTCTSCCCGCGCGGTGCTGACAGCTGCGGTGACGCGCAGCAGAGCTGGGCCAGCGCCAAGTAGGCAGCAGGGCACATCTTTTCCAGGAGGTTAAAGAGAGACAGAGCCTGTGCCTGCCTTGTGCTGCCAACAGAACGGACGGAAAATGTGCTGCAGGGAGAAACAGAGGCTGTTCCTTCACATCCCCTGCACCTAGACTGCAAGTGCTTCTAAGAAGACAGCCTCGATGCATCCAAAATAACCCAGTGACCATTTTAGATCTAAGCTATTTAACAGTACCCTGTTAAATCACAAGCAAACCACCTAACAGAATATAATTTGACATGCGTGTGAAGACCACAAAGTAGCATCCCGATGCACAGGCGTTTCGGGCAGGGTTGGAAACACGGCAGCATCAGGGCAGCAACTTCCCTTCCAACTCGCCGCACGAGCAAGAGGAACCCGACGGTACCGCGGTCCTACCCTGCTGCCAGCCACGTCGGGAGTCGAGGATGGAGCTACCTCCACGCTGCCCTTTCTTTCTCCATCCATCTACTCTGTCTTGCTGCTTTTTGGACGTTTTTTGCTGTAGCTGGGAATGGAAGCTGAAGAGTGAAGTGTCACCTGCACCCCCATGCACACACACACACACACACGTACCCCCCGCACGTGCGCTGCAGCGGCCAGCGACACACACCCCAGTTGTGATTCCCGGAGCCCAAGAGCAGGTGGTTCCATTCTCGCCCTCCCCCGGTGAAAATTTTCTTACATTTATACATTATTTAAGACACACGTTGATATATAAATTACTGTCTCTATATATAGTATGTATAGGCAGCAGGGCCAGTTCATGAAGAAGGGCACCAGTGGGTTCATTTCCCTCGGTCCTCTGTGTAGTGCTGGAAGCGAGTGAAACTCATGAAGACTTGCTCCAGAGATATCTGGCTAACTGAATAATCTTCTAAGTGATACTTCTCTTTGGCTTTCTCCAAGGCCCCAAAGACCTGCAAGGGATGGCAGAGCACTTCTGGTTATTGCAAGACACTCACTGCAGCATAGGGAGAACTGCAGCAGGTTGACACCGAACAAGCTCAAGCACCAGCCTTTGCCAAATGAAGGCCCAGAGCAGCAAGAGTCACCCCGGGGTGGGAATTGAAACTCAAAGGGCTTTACTCCGTTTACAGCAAGATTCATATGCTGCACAGACAACACTGCTGCCCTGTGAGCCCTGCTGGGCTCTTGCCTAGGATGGCATAGCACAGATGGCAGTGTGAGGTGCCCAAGCACACTCACAGTCGGGATTTAAGCTGCCACTCGGGCCAAAGGCAGCAGCAGCAGGAAGCAGAGAGGCTCAAACTCCACATGCTTTAGTTGGTGTCACGAGATCTGCCTGTGCTAGCTCACGGGAGCAAGTGCAATGCTGCTGGCATGAAGATGAGGGGAGGGAAGGATGGGACTACCAAACACGCCCCTTACACCGCCCTTCTGCTGCTGACCTTTCAGGAAATATTTTGAGAACAGACAAACACCAGAAGTACTGCTTGTCCCRAGAGAGATTCTGCTCTCTCTGTGGAGCGCAGCTCCAGAAGACTGGCCACAGAAGTGGTCCTGGTTCAGCACGCACAGTGCTCCCTCACTAACCATGCACACGAGTGACCTGTTTGGGCCAGAATATGGTAAAAGGTCAGGCAGAAACTTAAGTTCTCACGTGTTTCTTGTTTTAAAAAGCATATGCATTCCAGACAGAGTGAGTCTGGAGGAAAAGGAAGATGAGCTTAGCATGAAGGGGAAGCTTAGCTTTGCCCAGCAAAAACAGCAAGTGAAGAGACAGGAATAGCTGCTCCTCCAACACCCCCTTGCTTCTGCAAATGGGATGAAAGGGCCATGGGGTGAGGCTGGCACATGCTCAGCATGCCCTTACCTGTGCCCAGCTCAGGTTCTTGTTGGTCAGGTGATAATGTACCATGCCCTGGTGTTCATGTTTCAAAACACTRCCTGGGAGAGAAGAGCAGGAAGAGGCTCCGCATTAGGAAAGTGGCCGGCGCCTACGAATGGCATCTGCCCCGGTGTGCAGGGCAGCCAGCGCAGCAGCTCAGGTACCTGGGAAAGTCTTCTCCACAAAGGCCTTGAAGGCCAGCAGCTCGCCCTCCTCGTCGCTCCGCGTTTTGGCCAACAGCGTGTAGCCGCTGCCAAACTTGCTCTTCAAGTGCTGGGGGCTGCCCAAGCACTTGAACTGCCCGTTCACCATGATGGCCAGGCGGGTGCACAAGGCCTCGCATTCTTCCATGCTACAGGACAGAAGAGGATTCGTTCAGTACCGCGGCAGCATTGACATGTCCCGGCTCTGCTCATACGTGACTGGGAATCAGCAGAAGCTTCTGGGCGGTGGAATCTCTCCTTGCTGGGTTTTCTCCTGCCTCCAGGCCTCCGAGGAGGGAGATCTGGATCAAGCCACCCGCTGCTCGGCTCCATACACATSAGGCTCTATGAACTCAGCCCAGCCCAGACCCTGGAGATGGGCCCCATCCCCTTGCCCCCATGCCCTCCTGTTCGCTCCCAATCTCCCTGACCAAGATCCATCCAGAAAACTGTCACCTGTGGGAAGTGAAAATGATGGATTTGCCACACTCTCGTGTCCGCGTGACTGCRTCCCAGAGCAAACGCCGGGCCACGGGGTCCATGCCCGTCGAGGGCTCATCCAGGAAGATGACCGGGGGGCCGCCGATGAGAGCGATGCCAGCACTCAGCTTCCGCTTGTTACCACCACTGTGCAAGGAAACAGGAGCGGGGAGGGAAGGGTCCTGAGGTGAGCRCAGGGGAAGCCACGCACGACCAAGGGGAGACAGGACCCCAGACCAGATGCGAGGCACGATGACACGCAGTGCCCACCATCGTGCATCTCGGCATGCACCGTGCACCTAGCGAGGCGAGGTGCGTCTAYGCGAGGGCATGCTGGGGCTAACCCTCTCACCTGTAGGTCCTCACTAGCTTGTCGGCGTGGGGCTCCAAGAGCAGCCCCCTCAGCATGTTCTCCACRCAGCTGCCGATGTAGCGCTCCGGGATGCCCCGCAGCCGGGCGTACATGCTCAGGGTCTCGCGGCCCGTCATGTGCTCCAGGAGGGCATCGAACTGCGGGCAGTAGCCAATCCGCTGCTGCACCTGGGAGCAGGAGGAAGCCGACCGGGATTAGCCTGTAGGCAGGTTTCTGCAAGGAAATGTCCACCCTGGGAGGATAGTGGGTTCATGGGGYTGTCTTAGCACCCACAGAGTGTTTTCCACATCTGTGGAAGGTAAAAGTTTCTGATTCTTTCTGCTCAGAGTAATGGGTATTGAACTACAGCTCTGAAATTGCACTCAAAACGAGTGGGATTTTCTTCACCTGGAGCAGCAGGTAAGGATAGGGGATGGGCACACGCAGTGCAGCTGGGGAAGGCAACACACGGTCTCACACACTGCTCACTGGTACCTAAACTGATCCTTTGCTGTGAGGGTCATTTCAGGTGGTTCAGACCTTCAGGAAAAACAAAGAACTAGAAACCTAGCAAGCAAAAGAAGAAACCAGCCCTTCAATAAGCTTGTCTGGGAAAGGCTGGTGCCATGGAGCCCCTTCCCTGCTGCCTGTACCTTTCCCATAGCCTAGTTTCCTCTGGAGACAAGAGCCCAACAGAAGGTGCTAAGAAGCAAGTTAGCAGAATTAGACTTTCAGCTCCTTCTCCCCCGTTCTCAATGCCTGACATGGCCTTGGGCTGACACAGTTAGATGTATCAAGGGATGGAACTAAAAAACTTCCCTGCGCTTTGAAGTGCTCAGCGTGTGGCTCATCTCTTGCCTTGCCAAAGGGAATGGGCGACTCGCAGCAAGGAGAGCTCTAGCCGGGGCCTGGAAACATTTCCCCTGCTTGTTTTAGAGAGACTGTCAGTGAGCTCTAACTCACATTTCCACAGGACCAATTACTGAGCTAAACCCTTTYGAGGAAGATTATGTCACCCTTTCAAGATTTGACTTCCATTCTTTTCTTCCATGCCATCCCAGCTGAGGGGAGACTGCTTCCAGATGACCAGATTAACAGGTCAGAGAGGCCTCAAACAAGATCACAATGTCCCTGCAATGTTGCACCTACCATGCCCCTGTAGAGGCCCTGGCAAGGTGACACACGCYGCACAGAAGCAGGGCTGCTTCTGGCTTCGCTCTCCACCCCTGCAGCCTTCAGTACCTTTTTGATGTTGGCCAGAATGCTGTGGCCATCCACAAAAGCGTCGCCCGATGTGATGCTCTCGTCGCCGGTCAGCATCTTGAAGGTGGTGGTTTTGCCCGCTCCGTTAAAGCCAAGCAGGCCGAAACATTCCCCTTTGCCAACTGCCAAGGAGATCCTGTCCACTGCCAGCAGGGACTCCCGGCTGTCATAGACCTGGCAGAGAGCAAAGCACAAGCTGTGCCATCACAGGACATGCCAGCACCACCACAAGTGTCCACCCTGCTCAGAGCAGGATGCCCAGGAGATCCATGCTTTCTCCTCACCTTCGTGAGCTCCTTGATGACCAGGGGGCTGCTCAGTGACGACAGCAGCTCTGGTGGTGACTCTAAAACCTTTTTCCTCTCGTCAGCTACATCCCGGTCTTCGGGCAGCACAGGCACCCTGTTTAGGAGTGCAACCTGCAACACAGGGCAGACGACGTTTGCCACCTTGCTGCTGTGGGGCAAACAGCKTTCTCCAGACTGACCTGGGACAAGTCCTGTCAACCCACACTCCTTCAGCCAACCAAGTTCAGTCAACAAAGGGGTGTCCCAGTTCACTTGCCACCCCACATACTCAAATGATCCGCCCCTCTAAGCAACACCTTCAATGGGTGCTCTCTCAGAATGATGATTTAAGTCGCAAGGCACATAGTCTATGGGGTTTGGGAGCTGTWGCTGTTCCTAGTGGTACTTTCTGTGCAGAGCCCTAAAAATAAAGAGAAAAGGGAATTGGAGTCCTGACCATTGGACCTGAGTGACTCCAAGGATCTTAGGAATTTAGTTCACAGCAACATCTGGACATGATTTGACATGAGGGTGCCGACCTCTCCCTGCCATATGCTCCAGCTCACCCATTTTCTCCGCCTGCAGATGCCACAGATCAAGGTTTTTAATCGCCAGAGAAGGTTTGTCTCAATGAGGAAAAGGAGGAAGAGGAAGAAGAAGCCCTGGATGGTCAAGGATGTCAGGTATCGTCCAATCCCAGGCATCTCCCAGGAAAAGTAGTTCATCTGATAACTGATATCTAGAGTGGGGATAAAATAAAATCAAATTTGGATCAATCCACATTCTGGGATTGCTCCAGAGAAAGTTGGGTGCCCATAGCTTTATCAGTATCATCTGCATCCCAGTTCCCACTGCTCAAGCCCTGGGATCCCTTCTTCTTTCACGTTTTGGGACCCAGATCACCACAGGTAATTCTTCACTAGCCTGTGAAATTTTCCCAAGGCCACACTTTCTTCCAAAATGGTTAGCAAAGAAAGTGTTCCTAATGAAATCTCCCCATTAGCCTCAAATGCTGCCTAGTTTTTCCTTTAAAATCATACCTGAAGCTACTGCCCAGGCAGAACTGGAGACCCAGGGATGTTGGAACATCTCACACACGAGAAATCAAGATGCTGTCAGGGGGTTTGGTCCTCCCTCTACCCTAACCCCAGTTCTGCTCCTTCAGCTGCTCCAGAGAAAAACGCCAAGCAAATCTCATCCCCCCTTCCAGCGCAGCCCCACTGCTGCACAGCCAAACCCGCAGCAGTGTTGGACCCAGGCAGTTACTTCAAATTCTCTCAGCAGTCCAGACCCACCACTCCCCCGACACAAACTCACTGAACGCCTTGCAGATGAAGATCGCTTCRACAGAGGAGGTGCAAAACTGAATGAACTCATAGTTCTGGTAGAAGTCACTGATGCACTGGCCCAGGCAGTAATTGGGTAAGGTGAGAAAGACTTTATCCAGGGTTCTGGAGAGATCCACCAAGCCCAGTTCTGAAGAGAAAGAGCATATGAGGATGACAGAACAGATTTAGCTGTTTTCAAGGAAAGATCTTGATACATCAAAATTCAGAAGGAGACCCTGTGCAAATTCTGTCAGGCTGACTACATGAGGCTGGGCTGTCACCTTTTTGGTTTTTTCCTTTCTGTCACCTCTGGTGTGTGGCTGGCTCTTTTTGGTGAAGGGAGAACGCAGTGCTGAGCAAGCAAGGAGGACTTACCTGGAATGCTCATGATGGTGACTGCAAGGAACGTGGCTGTGCCTGAGAGGATGTTGAAGATGGTGAGACGTGTGTAGGCAGTGGCCGCTACCGAGAAGAAGAAGCTGAGGAGGTACATGAGGGGGATAATGGCCCAGCCATAAAGGAGGAAGATCAGCATCACATCAACGAGGTGGCTGTCTTGAGTGAAGGCTTGCACATCAAAGGCCTGGAATATCACCTGGGACACAGCAGTGYGAGGAGAGTGTGCGTTAATCTTGACTCTCAGTGATACCCCCTTGCGTGAACAGCCCTGACAGCAGCCATGTGCTGGCCTGGCTTCCCACTGCTCACACCAGCAGCCTGTACCTGTCTCCAGGGGAAGCTCCTTCAAACTAGGACGGAAAAGGCCAAATCTGACCCCTGGGATTTTTTTCACCGGGGTCCTACCTACTTGATGTTCTAGTACCTCTGACCGCTCTCTTTTCTTTAAAATAACAGAGACAGTGCCAGAGCTAGGTGGTCTCATCCTTTCCTCTCCACCCACACGCATCCCAGCTCTCCCAAAAGATCACACACTCCCCACAGTAACACACGTTGGCCAAGCTCAAGGCGGGAACAGCTCAAACAAATTGGGTGGGTTCACACAAAGAAAGGCAGAGGTGAGGGAAATGTGCAGAGCACTGGAGGAGTCGAAAGCTCTCTCGGCTACAGGACAGAGCTGGTCTGGGAGCMCAGCCATGCAGAGCACCCAGGGCCAGCACGGGAGTCCCCAGCAACCTTCCATCAGCAACATGGGKTTCACTGTGATGGCAGGGACCTTGCAGAGGGTTTGGCAGGAGGCTGTCACTGCTGACTTACCAGCATGAGAGCACAAGGAATGAGGAAGTTGATGATGTCCCAGAGCAGGGCAGAGAGCCAGAAGTTGACCACGTAGACTCCACTGACAAACTGGACGTGCTTGGCTTTGATGGCCCGCTCGCTGACCAGGAGGAGCGCGAAGGTGCTGGCGAGTGAAGCCATGCCGTAGAGCAGGTTGATGGCGATGGCGAACCCTGTCTGGCCTCTGCGGGGAGAGCAGCAGGGCTGGTTAAAACAAGGAGAGCCCAACAGACCAAGAGTGAGGCTGCAGGAGGACAACGCACCCATGCAGTGCTTCAGGAGTAGGTGCTGATGCCAACCTCCGCCTGGGTTCCCCACAACTCGAGGGCCCAACCAGCTACACACAGCACCCCGCCATCCTTCCTAGCCATAAATCTGCAGCAGGGGCTGAACACTGAGCAGTGCTCAGCCCTGGCAGGTCCCAATACCTTCAGCAGGCATCCTGCATTCCCCTGGGACTTCTTCCCCACAATACCCAGCCTGGAGTGTCAATCTAGCATCCTAAGATGCCATACCAGTGCCCGGGTGGTCCAGCACGGGGAAATGCGAGCCCAGGAAGATGAGCCCTGCACAAGGGGAGCAAGCAAGGTCAGAGCAGCTGTGCCTCCATCACACTCAGCTCTTGTGAAGACAACAGTCACCCATCAAACCGGCATGCATGAGAGATGCCCAAAAATAAAAGCCTATCTCGGGAAGGCCCTGGAGTTCAGCCTGCCCAGCACACCACGAATCTTCACCCTGTTTTTGCAAGGTCACACACACGAGCCCTCTTGTGCAGGTGAGATTCAGAGTCCCTGGATGCAGCATTTCCTAATTTGCACAGCTGAGCAGTTCCCTTTGGTCCCAGGTGAGAAGCCATGGGTAAAAATATCTCTAAGCGTAGGCTGTATCTAAAGGGAAATACTCAACCACTGAGGTACTTGTGTTGGGCTAAGTGGCTGCCAGGCTCAGGTAGGTCAGTCAGCTACACAGCTGTGCTCTCCTGACCTCCTACACATTACCACGGCTTCATTTAGGTGTGAGAAGCTCCAGGCTGGCTTCTTCACTGACTTAGAATCAGAGAATCATAGAATGCTTAAGGTTGGAAGGGACCTCAGAGGTCATGTAGTCCAACCTATCCTGCTCACGCAGGGTCACCTAGAGCACCTGGCACAGGCTGCATCCAAGCGGGTTTGAAAGATCTCCAAAGAAGGAGACTCCACAACCTTGCTGGGCAGCCTGTGCCAGGGCTCTGTCACCCTCACTGTCAAAAAGTGTTYTCTCAAGTCCCCRTGGAACTTTTGGTGCCTCAGCTTGTGGCCGTTTCCTCTAGTCCTATCGCTGGCCACATTAGCGCAACTGAGTGCAACAAGCAAGTTGGCAGTGATGGAGGTTAGGAGTCCTAGCAGGAAAGAAGCGTTGCGAGATCAGACTTACTCCATGAGCTGGTCCTTGGCCTTCTCAGTGATGTTGCGGGGCTGAGGGTAGTTGGTGACCGTGATGGAYGCGTTGGGGCCTGCCAGCGCGCGGAAGACGGCGTTGTCGGCCAGCAYGAGCGCCGTGGCAGGGGAGTGGTACGCCTGGTTGTTGAACAGCGCGGTGACCACCGTGTGGTTTCCAGATCCCTCAAAAGAGGCAGCAGCAACGTAGTGCTCGTTGAAGGCTCCCCCTTCCTCGGATGCTCGCGAGATGAGGTACTCCTCCAGGCCGCCTGCCAAACACCAGACTCCAGCAAATAAAGAGCAGACACCCCAGGCCAACAGCAGAAGGATTCGGAGCCCGCTCTAGCACTAACAAGGGCCACAAGACCTAACGAGAACCACAGGGTTATACAGAACATAGACCTGCTCAAGGTGAGGTGGGGCGGGAGCCAACTGCAGGACACACTTGTGTGGAGAGGACAGAGCAGGTTATGCTGGATATATCGCAGCTGGGAGCTAAGCCTCCCTGCAAGCATTCCCACCCTGCTGCCCCAGCAGAGGAAAACCATGGCACAGCTCTCCCAGCACCATCTGCTCCACTTATGCTCCAGGAATCCTTACCTAGCACCTCCAGCGGCAACTGGTGCTGGGAATCCAGCAGCTCCACATACTGCTCGGCCAACCTCTGCGCCAGACCCGAGGTAGCAGAGACAGAGAAAGGCACAATAGTCTGGCCGTAGGGCTCCAGCCTCAGCCTCAGCAGGGAGGAGTCCCTGGGTCCTGGGAAGGTCTTGGCAACAATGAGGGCAAAGGCAGTGAAAACCAGAGGCACAAGGAACTGGGCTGCCACCATCTTCCAGTTGCGCCAGCTGTACATGGCTCTCTTCATGAACATGGCGTAGAACTGCTGGCAGCAGAGGTAGAACTGGGAGGATGGGAGAAGGCGGAGGTGAGGCTCAAGCCCTGCCAGCTGCAGCCAATCCCGCCAGCTCCACAGCCATGGAGTTTCTGGAGGGAGTGAGCCCCCGAGCCCGATGGCCTGACCCCTCTGGCCTCCCCGTACTCAGCCCACAAACTCTCACAGCAGCCCGTGCTCCACAGAAGCCCCTAAAGAGATTAGCAGGGTGGCCTCGACTTCAGAGCAGCTTGGAACACATGACTTCCCAAAGGATGCTCTTCCTTCAGCATCTAACAGCAGTTTCAAATGTAACCTGTACCTAAATCCCCCTTCTCAGCATCTGAGGGTCCCAAATGGGATTACTGCAACAAGGCTCCCTGTACAGCAACTGGGCAGCTCCTCACTTCTCCCTCAATAACCTACAAATAATAAGCAGGGAGACTTGCCTAGAGCAAGCTCTGGCCTGYAGCACCCCCGCTGCAGATATCCCTTTCATGAGCTCTTGCCTGCACCCTGATACCCCACAGCACTCACCCCTGTGTTGAGTTTGATGCTGGAGCAGTCCTCTGTAATGAGCGCCCCGCTGTCATCTGTCATATCTGTCATTCCACTCAGGCTGCTGGAGTCATCCATGGCCCAGTCGTTGGAGCGTCTCTCATGCTGGTACTGGAGAGCAGGGAGCTGGATAGCCTGGATATCCATGCTGGAATCCACTAGCTTCCCAACTCTGCCACCAGAAGGGAAAGCAGATGAAGAAGTGTGAACTTGGACAGGACTGAGCAGTTCTGAGCTAGAGAAGCCAAMCCCCAGAGACAAAATCCAGACATGCCTCAGAGAGCCCTAGAACAACCTGCCTGTATCGGGCTGAATCTTCCAACCTTCCTTCTCAGAGTCAAGACAGAGACAAGAGAGCCACCCTTCCCCTCAAGCTGTTCTGATCTCAGGTCCTGTTACCCTCTGGAAAGCTTTGGTAGGACAGAGCTCGGGTGCATCTGAAATGTTCCAGTGCTGCAGGTGCCCCTCCACAGTCAGCCCTACAGGGACCCCGAGCACGGCTCCCCGGGGAGCCGGGTGYGTGGGGGGCTCAGGGATTCAGATGGAGGCACTTTCTCGCCACACTTGGGTCACTCCGTGGCCTGCGAGTTGGGCTGCAAATGGGTTTCCTGCTGCTGGTCAGCCCCATACAGAGGGAGCTCAGCCTCCCTTCCCGCCCTCTGGCTTCTCACCTCAGAAAAACCTCCTCCATGGTGGTGACAGAGGCACCGTAGCTGGCAATGCCCAACTCTTCCTGCTTCTGCTCCAGCTCCGTGAAGAGCGCCTCAAACCTGCAAGGACAAGTGAGGTGTAAGATGCTGCCACTTATCCCTTCTTCCAACAGCTCCATCMGGCAGAACTCTGGTCTGTTTGGGGGCGGGGGCCAGAAAAGCTGCATCCCCTGGATTTAATGGATGGTGGGCAAGGCTCCAGACCAGAGCACACTGAATCTCCACGCCCGGGGTTTCAGGGATGGGTAGAAGATGAGAGAGGGTACTTGGGCACTYCCTTGCTGCTCTCTCCTGCCTCAGGGAGTCTCAGCTACTCATATCGCATCTCTGTTCAGAGACCTGACGCTCTCAGCCTCCCTGGGTCCTACGTGAAGCCTTTGGCCCAGCTCCCAGTTGCACTAAAGGGCCTCCAAACACCTCTGAGAGTCTTGTAAATCAAGGGCACACCTAGGGGACATCTCTGCTACCAGACCCTTGTATCTCTTCAGCAGCCTCCTGAGGCCCAAGCTAGGCTGTGGATGAGCACGGAGGAAAACAGGATCAGAGCTGTGCAGGCCAGCGGATGGGACGGTAACACTGCAGCTCTGTGGCCCTGACCTTCTAGAGTTGTGAAATCTCCTGCTCTCTGCTCTGGTGGCCCCACAGACCTTCCCGCAAAGGACTCCTTGCTCTCATCCTCACAGCTCCTTCATGGAAAGGGGTTTTCCAACTGGCAGCTAAACACTCAGAAGCTGTGACTGTGACAGACTTGCAAGGCATTTTTATTTGGCTCTCATGGTACACTGATAACGCCTCCAAATCAGCCCTTCCTTGCCTGAAGGGGAACCAAAGACCTTTCTCGCTTACATGGTCTGTCCTCTGCACCACAGGAGGTCGTAGCAGCAGCAGACACAGGGGAAGACTCCGTGAAAGGAACTGCACCCAGAGCTCCAAGAGAAGCACTTTAACCACTGGGCAGCACTTCCTCCTGTGCCTTCCCAGAAGACAGAGACCAAATTCTCATTTCCCGCAAGTGTGCAGCTGCRCCAGCGGGTCCCAGCTGCGTGCAGACGACGGGAAGCCCTGGGCGAGGGGAGGCAGTGCTGTTACCTGTGCGTGCTCTCTTTGGGCAGGATGAAGGACAGCTCTGCGCCGGCATTGCTCTCCATGGTGGCGTTGGGCACGTAGTGACAGATGAGGCGGGAGATCTCCCCCAGGTTACAATACGGCTCTTTCACCATCACCATGTGATATCCTGCCCCTGGGCAGACCCACAAGAGAGAGGAGAGAAGTGTGAATAGCGGGATAAGCTGGGGCAGGCCTGACCTGGGGCAGGGCTGGGGCAGACAGCAGAAGACAGAGGCTGGTAAAGGCTTCACAGGGCCTTACTGGMTGTGCCTGAGCTCCAGACGTGGTGCAAAAGTTAGTAGGAAGGGCAGAAGGTGAGTCAAGAAACAAGGCATTCTTGGTACCAGTCATCTCTGAAAATTCACAGCTACATGGCTAGGAGGAGAGAGCATGGGTATGGATCACTGAGAGAAAGCAGTCTTCTGCCTTCTCATCAAGAACATTCTCATCAAGGGGAGAACCAGTAAACGGACAAGGCATAACGGGTATCCCTCCCTGCTCTATGACCCTCTCCCACACCACAACAAGAGGAGGACAGGCACTCCCATCAGATCAGGTCTGGGGCCCTTTTCCTTGCTCCGGCATGGCCTGGGTGCTCCTCCCTTACCATATTTACGCTTGAGGAAGAGCGAAGAGCCACAGCACTGCAGCTCTCCCTTGGCCATGATAGCTATGCGGTCCCCCAGCAGGTCAGCTTCATCCATGAAGTGAGTGGTCAGCAGGATGGTCCGGTTGCTCCTTTGCTGCTGCAGGAGGTCCCAAGTAGCCCTGCGGGAAGCTGGGTCCATCCCTGACGTTGGCTCATCCAGCATCACCACCTGCACGGAGGAGATGGCCACTGCTTGAGAAGGGGCTGGGAGATGCTCAGCAGCAGCGCAAGGACCCAGAGGGAGCCTTGAGCTCCTACCATGCATGGACAGACGCTCTTTGGCGGAGCAGCTACCCAACCAGCCATGAGTAGAAAGGCCTTGGGACTCTTCTTGGGGAAAAAGGCTCAAATTGTACTTGCCTTGGAGTCCCCGATGAGGGCGATGCCAATGGACAGCTTGCGCTTCATGCCGCCAGAGAGAGCCTTAGTCAGGCAGCGGCGTTTGTCCTCCAGGTTCAGGATCCTCAGTATGTGGTTGATCTCCTCGGGGCACTTGGAAGACGGGTAGCCCTTCAGCTGGCAGCCAAGAAGAAGGAAGGGTCAAGTTTACCTGCAGGGGTAACGATGTCCCAGCCAAAGCCTCTACTCGCCCGCTCAGGTGCTTGAAAACCCCCCACTCTTTCCACACCTTTCTGTATTTAGTCAGGAAGGCAAAAAAGAACACAGAAACCAACTTCTRCCCAATGGAGGGACACCCCTGCCCCGCAAACAGGGAGGATCTGCTGCATAGAGCCCTTACGGGAGCAACGATGCTCAAGATGCCGCCACTCCTCTGCCCAGCTGAACAAGGAACTCATTAAGGAAGGGGACAGAAACGGCTGTTCTGTCTAATCTGCAGCCTTTACCCAGTCTCCTTCATCTCCACCCAACGCCCAGGAGCCACAGGCAAAGCAACATCGGGTACTTTTTTAACTCCAGTGAAAGACACGGGTGAGGTACAGCAACAAGCCTTGAAATGAAGCCGGAGGCTGCGCTTAAGCTCTGGGCTCACCCCTGAATAGAAGTAGAGATGCTCTTCCACCGTCATGTTGTCGAAGAGCACGTCGTGCTGGGGGCACAAGCCCAGGCTCCGTCGGATCAGAACCATGTCCTGGGAGATCTCGTAGCCGTTGATGTACGCTTGCCCACTTGTTGGGGAGTACAGGCCTGAGAGAGGCAACACGCAACTGCCTTAGGGCGCCCAGCGACTCATCCCTGAGCTAACCCTTCCTCTTTGCAGAGTACTTTGGCATACTTAAAAGAGGGCGTCTTGCTTCAAGGCGTCCAGACCGAACAGTCTGATCTCCCTCACAGATGACTTTGCCAAGCTGATCTCACATGGGTTAATCACGGCCCCCCCAGMTCCCYCCCSTGTCTCCAAGCTGCAACAAGCTCCTCAGTGACAAGACACTCTTGGTCAAGAGCCCAGTGAAGTGCTGGTGCTTTGAGGAAGAGCAAAAACCACCTCCCAACTTCAGAGAACAGGCAYAGCTTCACTTAAAGGGGAGATATTAGCTCCCCTCTGTGGTGAGAGCCATCAGTCCTGTCACACTCTAAGGGTCTGATGCTACAAGGCGATTCCCTTGCTGCCAAGGCCAGCCCCAACCTGTAGCTCCTACCTGTGAGCATGGACAGCGTAGTGGTCTTCCCAGCACCATTGTGTCCCAACAGGACGGTGATCTGCCCTTCGTACATGTTCACGGTTAAGTCCTTGACTGCCTCTTTTGTCTTGTTTCCCACTTTGAAGACCTGTCAAGATCAGGTTAACAATTTGGTCCCTTTTAATCCCTGTCAAGGCAAGTGCTCTCAGATCTGCTTCTTCTGTAGCAGAGGCTCCTTTCCACAAGGCAATCAAATCCTGATATAATCACATGGGGCCATCAGACCAGATCACATTAGGATCACATTAGACCATTAGACCAGACTGCTCACCARTATCCAACAAGTTAAATGCAGACGTCACAGCACGGGCAAGTACCTAGTAGTTTAGTTGAAAATTCAGATGCAGTTAGTTATGGGCAAGAGCCTCATCTCCACTGCAAGAGCCAAGCAACACATCCCAGGGTGAACACTGCAGCCTGATTATGTGGAAGCTGCCAGCAGGCAGGAGTGGAAAAACAACATTCAGGATGCAACGGGTGCCCACATTGCTCTGTGGGCAAGGAAAAAAGGCCAGCTGGCCTGGTGGCAACAGCATTAAACAGCCCTGCCTCACCTGATGAGTCTACATGAGCCTGACACACCAAAATGAAGCCTCTTCCAGAAGCCAAGAAGCTGGAGACACCCCTCTCTGTAGTTGCTTGAATGCCACAGGGTCCCTCTGTGGAGCAACATGGCTCCATTTCTTGTCTTTCCTCGTGTTTCCAGACTCCTGGGTAGCTCAGGAGCAAAAGGGGAGGAAAATCGGCACACACCTTTGTTCAAAGGTCGAAATSTTGTATTTACCATGTGTGGGATGGGTTGTCTACACTCTTCAGGGTGCTGGACCCCGGAAGATAAAGTGTCTGTCAGCTCCTTGCACCAGCTGCCCTCCAGGGCAGGCAGAATCCAGGAGCAGGGTGACACTAGTACCGAYGAAGTGAGGCAGCACTACGTGCCCATAGTGGGCAAAGTAATTTAGCAAGAGGGGTGATTAGAAAGAAAAATCGGAACTGGGACATTAGCACGTGTAACTACAGCRCTACTGCAGCAAGGGAGGACTGGTATCAACTGCATCACAAGCACAACAGCAGTCACATTGCCTGCAAGTTTGCTGTATGGGAGTGAAGCATGGGGTTGATTTCCCTGAAATTCCATGCTTTGGTCCTAAAAGGTGCGAGGAGTTGGTCCCAAACATACCAGGAACCCTCCTTTCTCCTTTTACATCCACTGCTCTCCTGAGCTCCTGCAAGTCCAGGGTGCTGTGAGATCACTCAACAACTTCCAGTGGGGGAAAAAAACCCTAAGTTCTGTTCCTCCTTAGTCACTGGTTACTGCTTGTGGAAACAGGRTGGTTCAGGGCCCCCTTCAATGTTCAGATATGTCGGGAAAGGGGAGAGAAGAGCCCAGGAAAAGTCCCAACACTAGTATTAATGCTGCACTGGGGAGTCTGTACCTTGGAAAGATGCTTGATCTTGATTCCTGACACCAGATCGGCTGGCTCTTCCTCAATGTACTGGCTCTTCAGGGCCTTCTCGGGATCCTCCTCTTCCTCCTTCTCTTTTCCCACAACAGTCCGAGGGCGCCCACACCAGTACGAGGGCTGAGAGCACAGAGAGCAAGAGAGTGAGTGGCTGGGGAGAGCATGAGTGGAACAAGGATGTGCACAGAGCAAGAGAGCAAGGAGAAAGAACCCCAGGTGCAGGCACCCTGACACCTTCCTCCTTGCATGCAGACACCTCCCAGGGCTCTGCTAGGCCATTTCTCTCTGGTTATCAGTTATTAACCACTGTATCTTTATAAGGCAGGTAAGACAGAGGATGAAACTTTTCTTCCAGGACATTCTGCAGCTGCACTTCTGCTGTGCCGAGTCCTGCCCTGGTTTACCTGCAATACAGTCAGATGCTAAAGGGAAATTACGTTGGGACAGGGAATTAACAGAGCAGAAAGAAAAAAAAAATACAAATYAGATAACAAAGGCTACATATGATTAGAAGTGATTGTGTCACTGTGGCTTAACAAATTATCAGCAATGAGCTGAGTTACATTAAGCACCACAGTTACACTGTCTGAAGATGACACATTTTGCTTGGCCATTGCAACATGCAAGCTCAGCCCGTGGGTGACGAACTTGCTTGTTTGAGAATCACAGAATCCATAAGGTTGGAAGGGACCTCTGGAGATCATCTAGTCCAACCCCCTGCTCACGCAGGGTCACCTAGAGCACGTGGCACAGGGCTGCATCCAAGTGGGTTTTGAAGATCTACAGAGAAGGAGATTCCACAGCCTGCCTTGGCAGCCTGTGCCAGGGCTCTGGCACCCTCACTGTCAAGAAATGTTTCCTTAAGTTCCTGTGGAACTTTTGGTGCTTCAGTTTGTGGCCGTCTCCTCTAGTCCTGTCGCTGTCCACCACTGAAAAGAGGCCGCCCCCTCCTCCTCACTGCCTCCCTTGAGGTATCTCTAGACACTGATCAGGTCCCCCCTCAGCYTYCTCTTCTCCAGGCTGAACAGGCCCAGCTCCCTCAGCCTTAATTGTAACCTATATCCTGGCCACAGCACGTGATGTCTTGCAGTGGAGAGAACAGGGCACAGACCACCTATGGAAACTTGCATCTCAGTGCTCAGGAGAGTGTGAAAGCCCTGCCCTGCTGGAAGGGCCATGCCTGCGGGCAGCAATGCTCACCGTGAAGAGGAAGAACCACGGCTGCGGCACGCCGTACTCGCCGGGGAAGACGGCCTCCACATACCAGGCCACGAGGCCGTAGAGAGCCGAGTCCAGCAGCAGCATCCCCAGCACTTGGGCCAAGGTAAAGTTGTCGTCCACGCTGACTGGCTTCATGAGGTCCCTCCACTGAATGCCAGTCCCTGAAACGCACAGGTTGTATCTGCACACACATCTCACACACTCGGACACTGCACAAGCCAGGCCCAGGCTAACAAGCCTTCCCCCTGTGCCCTGACCTGGCATGGAGACACTGAACGTTCCCAGTCCAGCAAGGCTGGACCTGAAGCAAAAGTAACGCACGCCCATTCTGTGCAAAGCCAGACCTCTTGGCATTGCACTGCATTACTACATATCTGAGTTACTACAACCCCTTTAACTTCTGTGGAAGAAAAAGAGCTGCTTGGCTCCCCAAAAAGTTCAGGGAACTCAACAATATGATTTGTAAAGATCTAAGAGCATTTGGGTGAAATGTCTGAATCACTGCAGCGCCGTCCTTGCAAATCYAGAACAATTCCTGTTTTACAGCTGGAGGGAAAAGATGCCACAGGAACAGCACTGAAGTCTCCAGGCCCCCATCCCCATCCTTAGCACACGGCCTAAGGCTCCTTCCTTCACTTCTTTGTAATTGCCTCGAGAAGAAACAAATCTCTTCTCCAGCGAGATCTGCCACTACTCACTGGCAAATATTCAGCGACCTCCTATTCAGTTCTACCACGTGGCAAAATTGTGGCCGCTACTGGAACYGACAGCAAAGTTTCATTAGCATGGAAATTAAAAAAAAAGATAAATAGAAAATGGAAAGGAGAGGATGCAATTAATTCCCATCCATTAGAAGAGAAATGAGTTTGCAATCCAAGTGAGCAACTACAGCATCCTGCACAGACCAAATTCCTTTTTTGTCTATTAGACACAAGGGTTTGAAGGGGCACTAAGGGGCAAAACTGATAACACCCACAGGAACGTGCAAGACCCACAATCCTCTCRTTCCTGCTAAGAGGAATATAGCAACTTTGACTTTTTTATACCCTKCAGACTGCGTGTAAGCTAGTTCCAACCCACCACAGAGAAAGAGAGGCCAAGAGGCAGGCAGAAAAGGAGCAGGCAAAGACACTCCGCTTCCAGCAAACTGTGCGCAACGCCGGGCTGAGCTCTCTCCCTCTGCTGACCAGCTGCAACGGGTCTAAGGCCCTCGCTCACCTTTTCCTTCAAACATGCCAATGAGCTGGGCGCCCATCGCCATGGCCACGTTGGAGATGAGGCAGGACGCCAGCTTCTGGCTGTGGGACATCAGGTCGTAGCGAGGTGAGATGAAGAAGTAGGGGATGTAGGAGAAAAAGTACAGGAAGCCACCAGCAGCAGCTGCAACATTGGCTGCAAGGACAGAGAAAAAGGGGAAAGGAAGCATCTTGAATGGCTAAATACCAGCTATCTAGTTCACATATTAGCCAGATAGTTCAAACAGTATTCAGAGAGCTGAATGCTAGCTATCTTGCTTGGGAAATTACACTATATATGTCCCTTTCACAAGCACTACATATAAAATACAGTTAAAGAGGASTGCAAGGGCCCCGCTGTTTGCGTCAAGACAAGTTCTCCCACATAAGACCCTGGGCAACCTCATCTAACTCTGGAGTAGGCCCTGTTTTGAGCAAGATGGACCAGAGCAAGGTCTTTCCAGAGATCCCTTCCAGCCAAAATCAGATAAAAAAGTTTTACACCATGCTGCTCTGTTCATGCACAAGCAATAGCAAGAGACACAACACTCTCATGCCCATCAGCACAAGGCCCAGAAGGAACTCTATGTCATGTAGGTTCCTCTCACAGCTTTTGGCAGCAGCTGTAAACCCCACGGGGACAGGAAAACAGATTCTAAGTGTCTTTCTCTGTCTGCAAGTTTCCTGTTACCGGCTGAAACAGCACTAGCATTTCACCAGAGAGACCTTCTAACTCAAAAGCCTACACGGTTTATATGGAAGACACTCACCTCTAGAGAAGAAGGTGCTCACCATGAAGTTGAAGGAGATAGAGGAGATGGAGAAGACGGCGAGGAAAGTGAACACCAGCGTGGGGTCGCTGTTGGTGAGCACTGCTCCCTGCTCGCTCACCTACCAAGAAACCCCTGTTACACTTGGCAGCTGGAGCAGCTGGCTACAGCTGCAGGCACGCGCAGGCAGCCGAGGGCTGACGTTCTCCAGGGGTTAAGAACARACCAAGAGATGAACTGAGAACACCCAGCCCCCCCTAGAGCAGTCCAAACGGTGGAAATGGGGGCTGTCCTCATGTAACAACAGATCTGAGAGGCAGGGAACATCTTGCTTTCCACCCCTGACTGCTGCCTTCTGTTTCACACGGTGCTGGTCCAGAGAACCAGGAGAACCTGCGTGTCTCCAAGGATTCAGACTTTCAGAAGGTTCCTGTTAGTCCTGGGAACATCTAGATCTTCCCTGCACCTGCCAGCTCTAACCCTCCGATCTCCTCCTGCTGCTGGCTGCCAGAGGCAGTGTGAAAGGCTGGTAAATCATCCACCCTTGTTGGGAGCAGGGTTGRGGTTCGACTCTCTAGAACCAACAGTGGCAGGAGGCCCAGGCTGAATGAATAATTCAAGCTCCTGGGTGCTCTCCAAGTGCATTCATCCTGCACAGAGCTTAAGCTCTGCCCACTCAGTTAAGCAAGGAATTAACTCAAAGGACGGCTCTCTGTATTAGGTACATGGAAGAAGGAGGAATCCTGAAYTACCAGCATAGTCTTCCTCCTCCCCAGCCAAGTTCTGGGATCCCCATGTCCACTTACCTTCACACAGAAGAGCACTGTGACAAAAAACACGGACACCAGGAGGAAGAGGAAGAACATGAGGAACCAGGCGCTCCAGTGCAGCCAGTTGCTGAGGCCCATCATGCGCATGTACTCCTGGGGGAAGGCCAAGCTGTTACCCAGAGCTGCACCCACACTTCCCAAGCAAGGGGGCCCAGAGCAGCTCACGTGGCAGTGAGCAAGTCCAGGCAGCTGTTGTGAAAGGGAGGCAGTGGCTGCAACCCTTTGGTGCCAGTGAGGAAGGGGGAARCTCCAGGCACCAGCAGCCCCACGGAGACCTCCCATCGAAAACCCCTGAGGAAAATGAGCCCTGCACCCTCAGGCCTGATRTAGCGACCACCACCTTAGCCGAGCTCCTCGCCACCCACAAACGCAGGTTTCCAAATGTAAAAGACAGAACATCTGCTTCCCACACACCGAGTTCCTGAATCCACACGAGTTGTCCTCTCAAGAAGTCATCTTTTAAAATACCCTCCGGTCTAAAAGAAATGCTGGTCTTCCCCTCTCACAGCGCTGCTAAGCAAAGGGCTACGCAGCAAGGAACAACAGAGCTGGGTTTCAGCAACAGGATTAACAACATTCTTCCCTAGAGTTTGCTAATCCCCTGTCATCCTGTCTCCCCATGTCCTGCTTGTCCACTCCAGCCTAATGGGGATTTTGGTCCTAACTGGTTCTTCTGAAGGAAAGATTCATGTTACCTTCAGCTTCTTCTCCTTTTCATGCACGACWGCGCGGACGATGTTGAGGGAGGTGTAGGTGAAGCTGAGCATGAGCAGCAGGGGCAGCTGGTTCTGGATGGCAAGAAGGAAGAGGTCATTGACGTAGGATGGGTACGGGAAGCGCTGCACCACCACGGTGATGTTCTCCAGCAGGCTGGCATTGGTGTGATAGTGTATGATGGCTCTGTCCACGGCATGCTGCACTGCCAGGAAGCCTTCCCGGATATATCCTGCATGGCAAAAAAGAAGCACAAAGAGACAGAAATGRGTGGATGTTCAATAGAGACAAAGTCATGTGAAGAAAAGATCAGCGCAGACCTTCTTAGGAAAAGAGGAGCCTCTAAGGGAAGGATTGTTTGGGAAGAGCAGAAAATAAGGAAAGAGCTCTTAGACAAGGAAACCAAATGCCACCATCAAACTACTGCCAGTTGTTTCAGCAGACCTAGAGGGTCTTGCAAAGCATGAAAATCAGAGCTATTTACATGTCTCACAATCATCAGTCGGAAACAGCTGACAGCAAACATGCGTTTACATGGAAATCCTGCATGACTTTTATTTGTGTGAGAAAAGTGATTCTCAGTCACCATTAACCACAAACAATGTCACCGAACGGAGGAAATTCAACCTCTTTTTTTTTTTTTGGTGAAGCAAGAGAGTATGCAAAGCTGAAGTAGGGTTTTGTGGGGAAAAATATGTCCCTTTTTTCACATATTTGGCTTAAAACTTTTCGCATTAGCAACAGCATTTTTTAAACTCATTCTTATCCAAWGGCTCTCAAGAGGGGCACCCCTTCCTGACAAGCAGCTGCTCTCCCTTATTTTGTAAGGCCGTTAGAAAGACAACTGCCATCCTACACCTGAGCCCGCTCTGGAGTTACACCAGCTAAAGCAGCAGGAAGGGAGGCCACAGTGTCCATGCATCGCTCGTGGGGTGACCCTACGGGTCACCAAGGACACAGGGACAACTTGCTTGTCTGTCAGGAGACTGGCAGAGCTGATGTCAACCCTTGGCCTCACAAATCCCCCGTGTTTTTAAGCCCGTACTCTGCCCTTGTGAGCTCCCTTGCCACCTGACAGCAGTTGGTAGAGGGAAACACTGAAGAAAACCTCACTTCCGCAGCTGACTGGGGTAAAACAAGCCAGGTATTGGCCAGGATTTCCTAAAAAGTTGTGCTTGATGGCATATTTATTCATATTCAGCCTCAGGGAACAACGTACAATGTGTCACTCTGCAGAAAATTAAAGATTTTGACTGGCAACTGACCTATGGTGGAATATAAGCCAACCCTCACCTGGCGTTCCACCGTCTGCAAACTTGGCCTCCCTAGGGCCAGGCAACTGGAAAAGAGGGAAGAGGTAGCTGGTGTGCCAGTCCCGGTCCAGATTGGGGTTCAAGCCCGTCTGCTCGCTCCGGGGCGCATTCCTYGGGCTGTACTTGAAACGCAGCTCATAGTCAACCTGCAAAGAGCACAGAAAGACCACGTTTAGGATGAGGTGCAATTCCTGGCATCAGAGCAGCAGCTCACCGAGGTTAAACCAGTCATTCTTCCATTGCAGGATGCTGGGATCCAGCCCCGGCTCTTCACCACCGGGATATGCTTGAACATGCAGCAGCTGTGCTCACCTGGAGCGGCAAGGGGGCCTTGCTCTGCTGGAAGGAGTGCTTGAACACGACAGCAGCCAGCACATTGCCAGAGCGGTTGTCCAGCCTCACGTACTCCTCAAATTCCCTCTCTGAGGAAAAGCCCTGAGCTGCAGAGGAAAGGAAGGCAGTGAGCAGTGATGCGGGAGCGGCGCTGCACAGAACACATCGTTTCCCAGGGCAGCGGGAAACCCAGGCAGCCATCGCTGCAAAGGGCAGGTGACCTTCCACACAGGAGGCATGAACTAAGGAGGGACATGAACAGGAGGGAGGAACCAGAACTGCAAACGGGCAGCGGTGATCACAGGCGATTTAAGGGATGTAGCTGGACCCACCATGGAGGACACAGATTTTTTTCTCCTCCTYGAGAGCAGAGAGCATCTTTTAAATAAACAAACAAACAAACCACCCTAATATTCTCTGCCCCTTAGAACAAAAAGCTGCAACATTAAAAAAAATAAAAGAGTATCAAATGCTTYGTTACATGGAAGGAACAGCCATTTTATGCAGCTACTGTAAGGCCAATATGTTTCAACTTGGAGATAGAAACTGCAACAAAAAAAGGTAACAAAGATCAAAACCAAGGTGGGCAGATTTCAGAAGTAAAACCACTGCCTCAAAGGTCTCATAAAGTGATGCGTTCTGTGAATGGAGCCTCAAAATTTAACTTAATAAAAATGAGCCTGATAATTTCCAATTACTCTAACAATTACTGGWATGGAAGATGGACTGAGTAAATTCATCAAATACACAGAGAGAAAGGGATGGCCATTTTTCGTTCTACAAAACGCTTAAGGGGTTCTGGATGTTACTCCTAAGAACTGTTGAGCGGAAGCTCGTGTTTCAAGGGAACTCTTCATTTTAGCTGTCAGGTGACCCCGTAAACACAAAGCTGCTGCCACCAACACTTCACCCAGTGCTCGAGTTAGATGCCAGTCTCAGGTCTCCAGCAATGCTTAATCTAGGGAGAATTTCATCCTTTAGAGGTTTCATCCAAGGAGCTTAGGCCATCTTACCACAAGTCCCCATTCAGAAAGGCACTTCTGCGATCAAAGCTGTAGGTGCAGTGTTAAAACTCAGAGCTCTAAAAAACACACGCGTGGCTTCAGAGATGCACAGATGTGAGCCCAGCCCCTGCCAACCTTTAATGCTGATGGGCAGAGCTTTCTCTACCGCCTCGGCAATGCTCTTCACGGCAGTGCTGTTGGAGGGGACGTACGCCAGCTCCCAGGGGTTGCCCGCRTGCCGGTGGTAGAAGAAGGCTGGCAGGTCATCCACTGACTGGGGCGGGTAGATGGTGGCATTGGGGTGGCTGACGGAATGCACGCGGTGGCGGAGCGCGATCAGGATGGCAGCAAACAGCAGCGGCAGGCAGATTTCTATGACTGTTACCAAAATCTGCCGTTTCTGCAGCAAGATAGGAGGAAAAAACAAACAAACAAACAAACAAACAAACAAAAACAGAAATAAGGTTAGACCTTCTCAAAGCAGAATAAACACAACCGAGTTCATGGCCCATGTGTTCCATGCAGCAGATGTACTGGAGGGCTTTGCACTTTGCAGTGCTCAAGGTTGCAAGGACTCATAAGCTGGTGTCTTCCCTGGGAGGCTGCAAATGAACTGCCCATGAACTGACCGTGCGACCCGGCTGTCAAATTCAGCAGGTTCCTCCATCTTGCAGGACTTTCCCGCCAAGGAGGCTTCAGTCTCCTTCCCTAAACATGGTCAGTTTTCAACTGTGTTGCTTTTAGATGCTTCCCTGTTATGCTGCCACAGAATAAATGTGCTCAGCTGGTTATTTGCCTTTTTTCTGTGCTATGAAACTCTGCCAGAGAGCAGGCCCTGCTTGATGCTGCCTCAGTCACTCCTGCCAGCACCGGCTGTGGATCYCGGTGCTCCTGCAAAGAGGGAAAGGGCTATCTGGGGAGCAGACAGCATCAGGAGAGCAAAGAGAACAACTTTTACGAATGCAGAGCAACCTTAACCAATACTAGAAGCYAAAAATACAGTAGCTAAAGAAAAGCAAAGCTGGAGCAAAGGAGAATTAAATCAAATGCAGCAAATGTCTATGTAAAAATATAGCAGTTCACTGCAGAGCTGGCTGGCCCTGAAATAAGTGCATTTCCACAGCTTGGCTCCTGTTCTGCAGAGGGACACGGGGCTTTGGGGGAGCGCGAGGCCAAACAAGGCACCGGCCCCCGCCCCGGCTCAGCCTCCCAGCGGTGCCTGCAGCGCTGCTCATTCTGCGCCTGTGTCCACAGCAGAAACAGCAGCACTCACCTTTTCTAAGGGTTTCTCTCAAAAAAAGGCTCTATAAGATCACCGTGTTGTACAGCCYTCCTCGGGGCGAGGAAGAGGAGCAGCAAGGGCACCGTGGCAGGCAGGAGGGGCACCTCCTTAACCTGCTCTTAACTTGCTGCCGAGGTTGCAGCCGAGAGCAGCAACTGGCTCCAGTGTTTCAGCAATGCGCTCCAAGGCTCTGGGCACCCGCATGGATCAAAACTCTACTGGAAGAGCCCAGGCATGAGCCCCCATCCAGGTATCCCCTGGCATCCGCAAGGGAAGAGCAGCAAGTCAGGCATGTCAAGAGCACACAGGTTTTCACAGAAACAGCCAGAGCTGTCCCAGAACAWGAGCTGCCTCATTTCTCCCCATCTCCTGGGAAGGAGGTGGCAGCTGGCACTGCAGCAACGGTTGGAATTTGCCCTCTGCAGGTTGGCTGAGGCRGCGGCGGCCGCACGGGCACCTCGCCATGCAGCTGCTCCCTCTGTGGCCCTGGCACTTGCTACCAAAGGGGCAGCCCGGCTGCAGACTCCTCTTGCAGGCACAAAGAGGCGCCTGGGGCCTCCCGTCCTCCTCTCCCAGAGCCGCCGGGCACCCAGCTCCCAGCGTGGCAACCCCTGCTGCACCTCGGGAATCGATGACCATTTAACTCCATGTCGGGACCGGGAGGGCAGCCCCGGATGCAAATGCGCTGYGAGCTCCAGCCCCATGGCCGGGGAGACCCGGCCCAAGCTGGTGGGGAGCAGACACCAACGCTGCAGATGTCCGATGGTTCCAATACACAGCTCCAATACAAAACTCCTGCTCATTTACCATCTTATCAGCCCCCTAAGAGTCCCTTTCTCCAGCGCTATGGCCTGAACTCAGAAGCTAACAGGCAGCCACAAGCACAGGCTTTTGCTCGGGCAGAAGTCATTTAAGTGCCTTTATTTCAGCAGCGACGAGGACACTCACCCATAGTCATCGCTACCAAATGGCCGTTTCTGTCAGCTCAGGTCACATGCACTGAGCACGTTTTCAAATGGGCCTGCTAATAACTGGGGAGCTTCACCTCTTTACCAGATGGACGCTGCCCTTCCATTTGCTTATTCTGAACGAGCGCTGGGCTGAGCTGTGGGGCTGTAATTGAACCTGCAAATCCAGACTGCACCAAGATATCTGCCCCCTGCCCACACACCCACACCTCCCCTGCCCTCTACAAGGGGCTGGCTCCRGGGGGCTGCAAAGCTGCAGGATCTGCTAAAGGACATTTGCTGGCTACTTGGAAGAGCTGCAGCCTATTCCGGCAGCAGGCAGGATGCTGCAGGGCACCAGGCCGAGAGAGACAGCGCTGTGATGCAAAAGCAAATGCTATTTTGGCTTATGAGATAGCCCTAATGTCCCTAAATACTTCATACCTAGCTAGTTCCCAAGCACAAGGGGACCAAGAGCAGATGACAGGACATAGGTGGTTTAAAGGCAGCCCATGGGCCTGTAAAAGTTGCTTCTGAGGACCGCAATAAGCAATGGAAAGAAACAGCCCTATTTTGAAAGAGGTGAACCAAGAAACTGTGCAACTGAGAGGACAAGGTAGGGGAGCACAGACCCTGCGCATCTCCATCTGACACAAAAGATCTCCCCCGGCACAGAGTCATCCTGGGCCTACAGAGGAGGTTCTCCAGGGAATCCAGATGCCAGGATAGTTCTGGAGGGGTCACTTTTGAGGGATGACACAGGCAGCTCCCCTGCTGCCAGCATGGGGGTCAACTCACCTGCAGAATGTAATTCTTCCAGAGAAGCAGCCCAAACTGCCTGAGCACGACCATTCTTCCATCAGCAGGAGACCACCACCACTCTGTAGGGCTCTAGGAAACAGAACCAAAAGCAGTGAACAACAGAGACTAACAAATTCCACCCCAAATTCCCCAAACTCCCTGAAAAACCCTGCTCTGGCTACCAGGGCAGCATCAGCCAGAAAATTTTCTTCACACCTGCCTGCGCTCAGCTTATCAGCCCTTGTCCAGAGGGAGGACTCAAACCTGGAAGCCTTGCGTGCTCCTCACCGCTCCCAACAAGGAAATTTCTCCTCTGTGAGGAGCAGGATCGCCCCACGAGCAGGAGGCACCTCTCGGCCTGCTCAGCACCACTGACGGACCAGAGCAAGGGCCACCTCAACAGCCCAAGACCAAGACCCTTGGTCACCCACCCACTACCAACCCAGGCGAAAAACTCAAGAGCTTCTGACACTAGAAGACCTCCTACCCCAAAGCAGAGAGTTGGCATCAGCGACCGAATGTGTCCATAACAAATCTGAGCGGYTAACCCTGCTTCCTGCCTGGTGTTGCAACTGAAACAATAAAACCAGCTCTCCTCGGCAGCCAGTAAGAGCCAGTGGCCTCTTGGCTTCCAGCGTCATCAGCTGCCAGGCATCTGGGTGACCTGAATGACACCACAAGGCGCCTGAAAAGGAGAGGCTGCTGTTTGGAAATCCAGCCCGTAAACACCCAAGACGTGGTAATTACTAAAGCGCTGACACACACCCAAGGCAGCGAGCCGGGTGCGCGGGTCACGACAGCGGAGAGCTGGCCGAGCCGCGTGGCAACGCCCCGGCGTCCTCGTGCCCAGCAAGTACCCGCAGCCCCGTGAGACAACTGCCGGTGCCCGAGTGGAAGTGAAAGAGCCGACGGCCACTTGAAGCACTCCTCATCCGGAGTGTTCAGCCCTGGCGTTTCAAGTAGCTCCTCAAGATTTCTGGGCAAAAAAGAARGCTCTTGTGTGGCCTGGGACCCACCCCGGCAGCTTCACTCCTTCTCCTTTTCACCCAGCAACAGGGGAGTGCAAAGCTTTTGTTAAACAGTGGGAGGTCAGAGGTAGAGAAGCMCAAAAGAAAGGTCCCAGGAAGGCCATGAAATTCCTTGTAGTCCCTTATTTTGGGATTGGTGAAGATTTAAAATTGTCCCTCAGCACAGAGGACCATCAGAGCTCCAGAACTGCTGTTCTGCAGCGTTAGTGGTGCCTCCACAAAAGATCTTCTTGTTTSAGGGGTGTTGCTGAGAGCACCAGGGCTGAGAGCAGGAGACAAGCACAGGGAATCAGAGCCGGAGAAGAGCACGGCGGAGATCAGAGTTGCAGGGTGAGGCACCTTAGTCATCCTGCTCTTCCTGAAAGGATCTCTCAGTCCTCTTCCCACTTCCAGGCGAGCTCTCTCTCCAGGTTATTTTGGTGTCTTTTTAAAGGGAAGTTTCTGCTCTCACATCAAGAAATGAGCTTCTACCATATTTGCTGGGAAATGCAAACAAGCCGCCAGCCTCAGCACAAGCAATAGCCGCGGAGCAGCTCAGAGCTCCTGTTGCAGCTGAGCAGAGCCACACGTAAAACRCCAGGCTCGGGTTGCTCTGCGAGCTGACAGCAGCCAAGGGCCCCGCAGACGCAGGAAGGAGCTCCGCAGCAAACAGCTCCGTCACCTCCCTCCACTCRCAGGGCAACAAGGCTCCCCACAGCAGGACACAGGCAAAGAGCTCCGCATCAGCCCAGAAAGCTTCTCGTGGGTGAGCACGAGCAGGGAGAGCCACAAAGTGACCGCAGCCACGCAGCCCCTTCCCCGCGGGAGCCCGGAGCTGTCCCAGCCCTTACCACCCGCAGGGCGATCGCGTCCCAAAGCACCTCCAGAGAGCTGAGTTTCCAAACACAGAGCCGGAATAACACAGTGTAGCACCTCAAACCTCAGTGAATTCAAGGTATCGAAGGGAAAGAGCCRAGGGAAAAACAGAAGCAGTTTGGGGTTAGCTTGAGCTTTACGCCAAGATGAGCAGGAGTGCATCACGAGCAGGGTTGTTGCTCTGCAGCTCATGCAGATGTGCAGATAAAGCCCCGAGTACCTGTCTAATGTCCCTGCTCTACATGAAGAGCTCCTTGCACCCCACACAGAGGGAGCTGCCGTGCACGGAGCACAACTGTCCTATGGAAGTGCCAGCCCCACGTGGGGAAGGGTCCTCGCGGCTTGGCGCTCCCCTTCTGAATCCCCACATCAAGATTCGTGTGTTCTCAGAGCAAGAAACGCACAGGTTTTGCTGTGTGGTACGTAGGTATCAGCTTCACGCAACCCTAATACCTGTGCATGAGCGTCCTGCTCCACACAGAGCCTCAGAAGAAGCAAGYGGAGGGGAAGCAGAGAGCACCTCGGAGCAGAAGCCCTCTCCTTCAGCACTTGGAGGGGACCGAGAGCTCAACATGGTCTTGGGAGGCACTTAGCAGCAACAAAAGCTCCAGTCAGGACAATCTGCAAGTTTTAGACTTCAAGCCAGATCAAAGCCAATCGATCAGACGTTTCAAATTGGCCTTCACAGCCAGCAACCTCAACTCCCGGTATCTCCAGTTTGCAGCCATGGTTTGGGCTGCATTAGAGAGAAGCCAGAACTATGTGCTGAAGAACAAGCCCGCAGACAAGTAGCTGGAAATGGCAAACTGGGGCACGACGGCCCAAACCAGCCCCAGCACAGAAGTGCTCCAGCATTGCTTCTGCAGCCACTTAGTTCCTAAAGGAATCAGACCCCAAGTCAAAAATTGAAGATTAAGATTTTGAACTGCCCGGGGAAAGGCAAGAAGAAACTTTTGCTGTAAGACTCAGGCTGGGAAAGATATTAAATTTTTTGCTCATTTGTCTCAAGGTAGGAAAAGGCAACGAATCAGGATGTAGAAAGGAATTTTCTGCTCCCCTACCAGCGACCGCTTCCCCRCTGCTTCCATGTCTCTCCTGCCGCTCACCCTGTCGCCGGACACGGTCTGGCCGCCAGGGCTGCTGCTGCYGCTGTGATCACGGCTGCCGGGTCTCTGAGAAAATGTCAAGCAGCTCTTGGGTAACATGAACACTATGCAAACCCAGAAAACCTCCTTACTGCCAAATTTATTGAGCTCTTCAGTGTGCCAAGAAAATCAGCTTTCACTCACTGGAGAAGGAGAGAAGAAAGCAGCTTGGGGAAGGCAGGGCCACTGCCACTGGACTCGAGAGGCAGAGAGGTTTTTCAGGCTCTGGCCACGCACAGAAATATTCCTTTCAACTGAGGACAGGCAGAAGGGAAAACTTCAGGAAAGCCCTTTGTGGGTCAGCCCCGCATTCTGGGGCTTTGCTGCCCCRTGCCTGTGTCACAGGGGGTCCCTTCCACGGGCCTCTGGCTGCTCTGCTGACGAGTGCTCCGCGTTTGCCCACGTCGAGGCAGGTCGCAGCAGGGGCTGCTCCCTCCCGTGCGCAGGGATCACCCTCCTTGGGAAAGGAGGGCTACGTGGAGCCGGCTCAAGGTGATCTTCATACCCCACCTGTTCACCTCGCAAGAGGACCCCGGGAGACTCACCAGCAGGTCAAGTTTCCTCCCAGAAACACTTCTACCTCACCCCAGTACTGAGCTCTGTGAAATAAGGCTGATTTTTCCACAAAGCAGCATAGATGGGGACATAGAGGAAGGCATGTGGGAGAAGAGCTCTGCGATAACACGAGCCCCTAGTTCCTCATCACAGATGAAATACCCTGCACTGCACCATGGAGGGAGAAAGAGCTTCCTGAAGGGTACAGATTTACCCTGCTCAGCTCCACCAAGGCCAGCAAAACAGAAGTCCTCCCACATCCTCAGTTGCAAGAGGCTGGAGGAACGGAGGAGCCAGCAGTTCAGCTACCGACTGAGACCTAAGGAAACTAGCAGTGTCCTCCCGGCCTCCCCAGCCCCTGCAGAGCCAGGGTCCGGGCAGCAGCACGAGGAAGAGCTCCGTCTCTCCAGGGTGCTGGAGGCAGCTCTGCGCGGTGCTGGTTGGCCGGCAGCGCCGAGCTGAGCCAGCGCTTTCCCGCTGGCGCCGTTTAGATCAGCATCGCCTGAGGATGGGCAGGGGTCAAGACCTCAGCATCCCACGCGCTGCCCTGCTTCACACCCCACCTTGTCCCCAGGCGGCGGCACCCCCGTCTGCCTCTGCAGCGCGAAGGGCTGAGCAAGCTGCAGCCAGGCCGCGTGCTCTGGGCGCTGGTGATCATCTCAGCGCCTTTGCTGCGTCTCTGCTCTGCCAATGTCCCGTTTCCATAGAAACACGGCCTGGAAACGGCAAACGTTGCTTTTTTAAACCGCTACTACTCCTCTCGCCGCCGCCTCGAGGACCCGCGGCGCYGGGTCGCGCTCGGGCGGCACACGCAGGCAGGGCCCTGAGCCGGGGCCGTGCCGCAGCGCGCGGGGCCTCCGTGTTTCCCGGCTCCTCGCAGTGCTGGGGGGTGCAAGTTGAAAGCGAGGCCAACGGAAGCTTTCCTGGAAGCACTTACAGAAGCAGCCAGAGCCTTTGGGCGTCTCTCCGCTCAGGAAGTCCCATCTGGCAAACGGAGCTGGTGGCATCCAGAAGCAGCAGGGCTCGGCCGCGGGGTCACTCGCGGCCCCTGCTGCCATTTTCTTCTTTTCCTTCCTATTGTCACGGCAGACCTACCGGACCAAAAAGGCCGGAAAAGCAACAATCCTGCTGCAGTATAAGGGGTGGGGAAATAGGGCAATAAAACTCTCTGCGAGGCTGCAGGAAGGCAGCAGAGCCACTGCAGAGCAGGGCCAKGATCACTCGCCCTCCTCTTCCACCYGCTGAGTCAAGAACCTGGCAGAACCAGCCCTTGATGGAGGGCGAGACAGGGGAAAGCAGCTAGAAACGGCCGTTGCTTCCTACGTCCCAAGGTCTGGGCGCACTGAGCAGGGCTGTGTCAAGTGCCCGGGCAAGTTGCAGCTCAGCTCCCTTCCCTAGTGCACAAAATGACCGGGGTGCTCTCTGCTGTGACTCAAAGCGGGCAAAGAAGGGCTCTGCGGCAGCAGCGTTGGGCGTCCCAGTCCTCCAAGCCCTTCCACACTGTCCAGGAGTTGTTTGTGTCGCTGGTTCCTGCTTGAGGAGAAGCCGCGGGCAGGGGGTGACCACCCGCTTGCTGCCAGCGCCAGCCTTTGCGGGACCCAGGCAGGGACTCGGGCAGCAGGACCGGGCCAGGCTGCTGCTCCCGCCGGCACCGCTCGCGCCAAGGCACCCTGAGCGGGTCCACCTGGATGCCTGGCCCGACTTGCCCCATTTCGGGCCTGAGGTCACAGCACAAGGCCCACACACGTGCCCCACGGACCTGCAGCCTTTCCGAGGCAAGGCAAAGCAGACCTGGCGAAGCAGGAGTGCCTGCGAGGGAGCAGAGCACACGTCCTGCTCCAACACTCCCGGGCGCWGGAAACCTGAGCTTTTCCAGCCTGGGCCCAGCTCAGCATTTCAAGAGCCCTTTGGATTCAAGAGGAGGGCACTACCCACACGGAGCTGCTCCTTATCTACCTGCTACCCGCAGTGGAAAGAAGGGGGGCAGAAGGCAGTTTAGCAGTTCCCAGCGCCTCAGCCAAAAACACGAGTGCTTTTAAGCCTTAATCTGCTCTGCAAACGCAACGAGAGGTTTCCCTAACACCGTCCACTGTCATCGCCACCAGCCCTCGCAGAGGTCTCGACACGYGGTGCTTGGGACAGAGCCCGGCTCCAGCTTGCCCGGTTTCCAGCCACGAGCAGCCCTGTGCCGTCAGGACAGAAACGCCCCGCGCCCCCTCTGCCTGCAGCAAGGCCGTGGAAGCGCAGAGGAGCCGCCACGCTGCACGAGGGGAGYCCACGCCACGGCTACGCAGGCCCCATTCCAAGCGGTGCCGCCATCTGCTGTCTTTCCCAAGCGGACACAGCTTTTCCCCCCACTCGTGACCTGCCTGGAGGGGCACGGAGGAGAAACAGAGGAGGTGCAAACAGCGGCGCGGGCCCGGAGCAGCGCCCCGCGCCCCGCGGCAGCCCCTAGAGCAGCCCGCAACAGCACAGCCCACGTCCCGCGTGCGGTGCCCGCGCTTCCCGGCGCCGCGGGACGCTCGTCCCGGCCCGCCCGGGCCTCCAGATGCTCCCGGGGGTCGCTCCCC